ACAGACTTATTGCCTGGATGCTGCTCTCCAAGCTGCCAGGCTGCATTCCTGGCCACATGCATGCTGTGCCTGTGCAGATCCATGCAGCATTTATTGGTGACATTATTGGCTACACTAGCCAAAAAAAGCTGATTGCCGATAATGTCAGTTTTCTTCTTATCGGTGCCAGTCCGATATGAACCAGTCGGTGCACCTCTAATTGGCAAGCATCCTACGTGCAGGCTTAAGCCTGGAAGTCTTGGAATTTGGATTCCCTCTACATTTTGGGCTTGTTACAGGACTTTCTTATGGCTGCTTGCCTTAAAATAAAGAAATATTTTGAGTTTGACCCAGTTCTTACTTGCTCACTGGCAACTTACAGTAAGTAAGAAGATAACTTATTTGCATACTTAGTTGCATATTTTTTCAGTGTACAATAGTTTTTCAACAAATACAATAATTTTGAGCTTCCAACATAATAATTTTGTATTTAAGACCTGGCAATCCTTGCACCACTGCTCTAAACTACTTTTCGTGCCTGTACGAGACCTGCGCTGCCCAGGGAAGCTGGCTCATGAGAAATGGGCTCAATAGCAGTATCCAGTGCAGGAAGCGATGCTGGCAAGAGGAGGCTTTTCCTTGTATGTCTTTGTTTTAATGGGAGGCTGGTGCTAGTGGTAGGTAAAGCACCCCTCGCTCCCGGCAGCTGGTCTCCCTGTAAGTCGCACGATGAGCTTATCGTGTATTTCAAGAACTGAAAAAAGGAAGGAGCCAGAGGAAGGGATTTCTACCAGTGTGGACGAATCTCCTCACAGTCAGCATGTTCTCTTGTTGCATGGCCTGACACGTAGTTGCCTCCTGCCTGTCTGGCCAGCTTTGTTTCTCCAGTAGAGGAGTGGCTAGGGCAAACCAGCGATGTACAGTATTGTTCCATGGGAGTATAGCCTTGTGACCACCAGGGCTGACTTTCTGTAACTCTGTGAACTGAGATGTGAAACCCACAGACTGAGATGTGAAACCTAAGAAAAGGCTATGGCTTGTTTAGAATCCAGCAGATTGTAGGCTTGGTAACACAGAATTGTTCCTGTCACATAACTAGCTCTCAGCCAATTGGTCAAGTTCAGGGTTTTAGTCATTGTCTTTGAAGCTCTCCATAAAACTGGCCCAGGAAGGACTGTATCATCTAGCATAATCCTGATCTTTCTAGGTGGCTTAATTCTAGTGTAGCCAGCAGGTTGTCAACAAAAGAGAAACTCGTGTATGTGGAAGAATGACATTGTTTTGGGGAAGAGCCCACTCATTTGGATCTTGCTTTGCAGTAAAAACAGAGACAACTGAAATTTGATGCCTTTAGAGCAGTAGTGCTCAAGTCTCCAGCCCTGTGCACTGGGTAAATGGTGTGCAGCCAGTCTTTGTGTGTAGGATTGGTTTGTGGGAATGATCGTTAGGATGCCTGCCTGCTCTAGAAGCGAGGCAAAACCCAGCAATACAATGGAGGCTGTCCCAGGTGGGCCCTCAGCCTGGGAAGGAGCGGGGAGCTGACCCAGAAAGTCACACTTGCTTCTCTTCTGAGAGCCAGGTCCAGAGTTTGCTAGATCTGATCTGATAGCATGCTGTCTCCCACCCCTCTTCCTGGCTGTGCCTTTACAGATGCTTGGAGCTAGGTGCCCAGTGGGGAAACCTGGCAAGAAAAGAGATGCTGTGCCTTCTCACCCCTCCCCACCCCTACACCCCTATTCTTAGTCTGGTCTCAGGGGCTCTGGCTCCTGCTGCCCCCTGAATGTGCAGCACCATTGCAGCCAGGATGGGGCTCCCAGTGTATCTTGCAGCCTGGCTGCCAAATCTGTCCAGCAGTTGGTCCCTCATGCCCTTTCATGCCCCTGGCCATCCCACTCCTTGCCATTTCCACACCACCACCTTATGTCCTCCTCCATCTCCAGGAGACTGGTGTGTAGCACCTCAGCCCCTACCAGCTCCTGGCAAGGGGCCTGCCTGAGGGTTTTTTTTTTGTTTTTTGAGGGTTCTTTTTAATGTGTATCCGGGGCCAAATTAGCCAAAACTAATTCCAAATCCAAGAGTCTGGAGCCATAAGTGGCCTTACTACTGGTGAACATCTGCCACCCACACCTGAGGCATCAGATATTTCCAAAACCTTTGGCAGACATCCTACTTGCAGGCTCAAGCCCAGAGGCTTGGGGTTCGGATGCCCCCAACTTTTGTTTGCCCTTAGCCATAAGGCCCTTCGCGCAAGCAAAGCAGGGGACTCCCATTTTCAGAAAGTGGGCTGAAAGCTGCTACACCTTGGCAGGTACTGAACCATGCCAGAAGAGCAGTACTCCTGGGGTACGCTTCAGGAAAACTGCCTTCATGGACACAGTATTTCCCCTGCCAGGTTAAGAAACCACTATGCTTGTCCTGAGCCTTCAAGAGGTCTGAGGGTTGGGCAAAGGGAGGCTGAGCCCCCAGGCTGTTGTGAAAGGAAGCAGGAACATAACCCAGGACTGCTCACTTCTTCCCTCCCTCTACAAAGTAGTGTCAGGCTAAGCTGGGGGTGCAGTGAACACTGGATTTAGCCACGTGCAGCACAGTATGCCGGGTAGACTGGGATGAGGTTGCCAGCCAGTCTGAGGAACCACACTAATTGCACTCCCCCCCCCCCCCCCCCCCAAAAATCAACTCCACAGCATTGAGTGGGGGCCAGTGTTCCTAGTGGATGTGGAGGAGCGTTTCTGGATGCCTGCTCCACTAGTTGTTTGCCATTTGCACTAGTTGTTCCCCATTGAAGTCCCCAATTTAGCCATATGTTCAGCTTGTAGAATTTGTATGCTAAAGTACATAGATGGTTATGACATGCATGCCACATATATCTGCATCCTGAGTTAAGGACATTGCTCAGGACTGTTCTGGGAATAGTGATTTCTTGACTAAAAAAATCAGTAAATTATTTCAGGTTGTAGGTCTGACAGACTGCTGGCCAGTATTGATTTGTGTGTATTTAAGTTACCTGGCCCTTCGTAATTTACTGACAGGTTTTCATTTTAAGGTGAATTTTGGCCTGGTATCCTTCTAGTCAGCCCCTGCCTTTCAACTTGAGCTTTTCTGTGACGTGTCCTCTTGTGGCTTGTACTGATGTTTTTCTGGTGTGTCTGACATACTTTCTGCTTTCTTCCTTAGAAGAGAAGAAGAAACTAATACGAGAATTTGATGAGAAACAACGGGAAGCAAATGAAACGGTAAACATGTGACTGGAGCTGTTAGGAGGAAGGGTGGAGCAGGGGCTGAAGTTCAAAAGTCTTGTTTCCTGCTTTGTAGCCAGTTTTTGTTTTTGCCTAGTTCCTTTAATCTGGGGTCCTGGGTACTAGTAGTTACAAGTTAATCTCCAGTTATTGGGGCTTCTTTCATAATCACCAAGCTAGTTCTCTATGATCCTATGAATTCACTTACAAAAGAAGTAGGGCTAGAAGGAACCTCCAGAGACTATTTAGTCCAGGGGTAGGTAACCCCTGGCATAGGTGCCAGAGCATGGCACACAAAGGCATTTTGCTTGACCACATACCCCTTGGGGCAGATGGTGCAGAAGGTGCGTGGGGCAACACTGCCACAGCAAGGATCGGGCACCTTGTGGCTCCTTTGCTGTCCACCCCTGGCATGTCAGTATCTTATAAGTTGTGGTTACAGGTGTTTTTGGCATTCTGCCCAAAAATGTTGTCGACCCCGATCTAGTCCAACCCCCTGCCTGAGGCGGGATCATCCTTATCCAAACCATCCTATACAATGCCATAATCTAACCTCTTACTACAACTACTGTCAACCCTTACACAACATGACATAACACTATAACCTGCCTCAATTAAAGCAGGGGGACCACAGCAGCCAACATCTTGCTTCTCTAAAAGGTTGTTAGTATATGCTCAAGAGATTGCCCTTTTCATTTTCTAATGATCCATTTTCTACCAGCCAAACATATAGAAGCTAACATGCTACCCTCTTGTAGTCCAGGGTGGAAGTTAACCCCTTTAACCTCAGGGGTATCAGCATATAATCAAGGTATGGAGCCTCAGGCATCATACCATAGGAGTTTTACAAAATACTACCACATTCGGTCACAATCCTGAGCCTTGGCATTTGGGTCTGGATAGTCAGACTAGGGATCTTGGAGGGACTATCTCATAGATGTGATGGGAAAGTATTATGTTAGGCAACATCAAAAGGAGAAAAAATACAACTGTCAACATACAATAGAAAATCAGCGCCATAATTTTTGCAGTGCTCTTTCCTTGGAGCATTACACAGTGTCTTACATCAGGGTAAATGTGTATGCTAGAGAGTTACACTAAGTAAACTCACCTGTGCTGCTGGAATAGCATCTAACAATGCATATCCAATTATGGAAGGTACCAATGACATGACACTTCCAACTACAACATGGAATTATTAAAAATATGGAAAGGAAAAGAAGCACAAACCTGAGATCTTAATTCAAAGAATGTTCTGCCTTGTGTTGATACAGAACTGTTAAGATTTGTCTTTTAGTTTCAGACTCTTTTTAGAGAGGAAAGGTCATTTTTAACAAAGGGGTTTGCTATGTTCTTGAACTGTAGAGTCATGTAACCTGATTACCTCTTATTTAACATCCAGGTGTGATTTTTTTTTTTATGAGGACCACAGGTTTGGTACACAGCACTCTGTATTGGGCTGGGGACCTTTAGACCTGTGTGCAAGGTCTCTGTATTAGATGAAAGCAACTTCAGTCGTCTTTCTCTCAAAACTACGTGCATGCCTTGGGCGGTTGGTCAGTTTCAAAGCAGAGCCTTGTTGGGGCATATTGTGACATCCTAGTTTGGTCACAGAATGGATCTGGGGCTTTTTGTAACTACTCTTTCTTACTAAAGCTGCGGGAGATGGAAGAAGAATTGAAGCATGCGCCACTGCCCTTCCGCAACCAAATGATGAGCAAGATCCGGGCCTACAAGAGAGACCTGTCAATGTTCCAGAGAGAGATGAGAAGCACAGATCTGGGCTTGGTTCCTGGCAATCGGGGAGACACAAAATATGGAATCTACTCCATGGAAAATGAGCAGAGTGTGAGCATCCAGGGGATATTAACTGTATTTAAGACCTTTGCTGATTGCATTACAGTGCAACTCTGACTGTTTCATAGTTTCATAGTTGGTAGGGTCAGAAGGGACCTGAGCAGATCATCAAGTCCTACCCGCTGCCATGGCAGGAAAGGGTACTGGGGTCAAACGACCCCGGCAAGGTGTTCATCTAGCCTCCTCTTAAAGACCCCCAGGGTAGGAGCCAGCACCACTTCTCTTGGAAGTTGGTTCCAGCTCCTAGCCACCCTGACAGTGAAGTAGTGCCTTCTGATATCTTGCCTGAATCTACCCTCTGCCAGCTTGTGACTGTTATTTCTTGTCACTCCTGGGAACAGGGACCCCCCAATGCCTGCTGACCCCCCCCGACTAGTTTGTAAACGGCTACTAGATCCCCCCCTCAGCCTTCTATTGTGGAGGCTGAACAGGTTCGGGTCCCTTAGCCTCTCCTTGTAGGGCCTCCCATACTGACCCCTGATCATGCGGGTGGCCCTCCTCTGGACCCTCTCCATGTTGTCCACATCCCTCCTGAAGTGCAGTGCCCAGAACTGGACGCAGTACTCCAACTGTGGCCTGACCAGTGTCGCATAGAGGGGGAGGATCACCTCCTTGGACCTGCTCGAGATGCATCTGTGGATGCATGACAAGGTGTGGTTGGCCTTCCTGACTGTGTCCCCACACTGTCGGCCCATGTTAATTTTGGCATCAGTAATGACTCCCAAGATCCTTTTCTGCCTCTGCACTGACAAGAAGGGACACCCAGCCTGTAGGTGTGCTGCTGGTTTTTCCTTCCCAGGTGCAGTACCTTGCACTTGTCAGTGTTGAAACCCATCCTGTTCTCATCCGCCCACCCCTGTAACCTGTCTAGGTCCAATTGCAGCGTCCTTCTAGCGTGCGCACTTCTCCCCACATCTTAGTGTAGTCTGCGAATTTGAACAGGGTGCTTTTTACCCCCGCGTCCAAGTCATTGTGCTATTGCTAGTGTTTCAGCTTTAACCCCCTTAGTTTCAGACCTCATGTAACTTGGCTATAAATCTACTCTGCGTTTAATATGAATGTTTCAGGTGAGAGGAAAATCATGCTTAGAGGGTTTCTTAATAGAACCCATATTGGTTATCTCAAAAACAAACATGTTTTTAAGATACAGTATAACTTTATGAATCTGGCATGCTCAGGACCAAGCACCTGCTGGAAATATGAAAATTCTGGATTTTTGAAACTGGAGGGGTTGGGGGAGGGGTGGCTGGTCCCAGAGCAGCGGCTCCATGCGGAGCAGCGGCACAGGGTGGTGGATGGCGTGTGCAAGCTTCCCCCTCCTCTGCTCTGGGACCGGCTGCTGCTACTCCCCAGTGGAGTGTAGTTTTAAGAAGTGCCGGATTTTCGATAATTCCGGATTTATGAGGTTATACTGTATGTTCAAATAGCGTTCAGTTCTCTTTCTTAAAACCTAATATGAAAGAGATTTGTGAAACATTGAACTACTTTTGTTTAAACATTCCTTTACAGTTCTGGAAAGGATAAATAATTATTCTAATGCAGGGTAAAAATTTAAATGATCAGTTTAATTTTGCTACTTATCCTGAATGAAGTGTGTAAATTAAATGTATTATATACAGCCAGTAATAGAATTAGCTGTAAACACTTTCAGTTTAAATTATCTAAAGCACTCTACCAAACTTTTTTTTAATGGTCTGAACAGTATACTGCTTATAATTCAAGATATAAACAAGCAGATCTGGCTTATAGAAAGGGATGCCAAGTTATGTCTGAATCTGTTAGACTGGAATTGTCTCTAGTCTACAAGCTGAGAGACTTGCCTGTCTGGGCTGTTGTGGTGCTGCCTATGAATTATTTTAGTCTTCCAGATACCTTTTATCAGAATTAAAATTAGAAAAGATGGGAAGTGTGGTGAAGACTAAGTCCTGTCCTTAACCTATGTGGATTCTCTCATTGCTCATAACCTCTCTACAACATGTGACCTACAGAATGGTAGATTAAAGATTTAGGAAAAGATTGTGTCTGAGATCCCGTTTTGTCCTACAGTCATTATACATCTCTCAGCCACTGATTGTGGAGATCAGGTTATACACCAGCCCATCATGATGCTGTAAATAAAGGACTGCTTTAAGCAGAAATAAAAGAAGGCCTTGGGAAGAAAAGATCCTATTTTCATATAAATCTCCCTTACTGGCAGAGAGGTGGGTGGTTCACGGATGGAATCTCTGGTACAGGCTGATCTCTAACTAGACTGTTTAAAAATAAATAAATAAATCCCTAAACCTTTCCCACACTAGATTTATCACTTAAAAGCAGCTCCTTGGCTGAGACTGAACTGTCCTACTTTTTCTAAGTTTAAACCGATCCTTTCAGCTACCCTTAAAAATTATTTAATTCCATTAACTACACCAAGCCTCTTTTGTATTGAATCATATCTTTTTCTTGGCTGGCTTCCTGGAGTAGATGCTATTTTCCGCTTGGAGCAGGGGCCAGCAAGCTTTTCAAGCTTTAGGCCAGAACAACCTGGCTCAAGTTTGACATCGGCCAGGTGGCTTTGGTGTATCAGTAACAAGGGGGCATTGTTTGTGTCCTCACTTTTCAGCTACAGTGTGGGTGCAGCTGGAAACTGGCCAGTCCTGGCTCAGTTCCCCACTGGCTGGAAGTTGTGCCCCTGGTGCAGCTGGGGAGCAGGGGGGCAGGGAGAAGTGGCAGTGATGCAGGTGCAACTGGCCCCAGTACAGATCCTTGTTGCCTGGCCACAGCACAGGCATAGGCAGAGGCAAAGCCTTCTGGCTCTGCAGGCCAGATCCAGTGACTATGCAGCCTGGATGTTGCTGACCGCTGCCTTAGAGCTCAGATTACATGTGTTCCATAACCATGGGCTTTGGCACTTGATGACTTGTTTTTGAAACAGCTTTCCCAAAAATAATTAGTTTATTATCCTCGTGTAAGTATGCTGGAGTTCCCTTCTTAATAACCAGTAAATGTAAAAGCTGAGACTAGGTTTCCCCAGAATTTTCTACTTTGGAGCGATAGACAATGAGTTTCCAGTACAGCAGATAGAGATAGTACTGGAACTCTATGGGTGCATCTACACATCGCCATATGGCAATGTTGCTACAGTGCTGTACTTTAGTACTTCTTTTTGGACGTACTAAAGCACGATGCAGTATGAGCGGTTACTGCGCCATGCGCACGGTTAAATTTCACCACTATGTCACTGTAGTGGTGAGCTGTTTCCAGGGAGCATACTGCTATGGTGACGTAGCTGGCGATCGCATGCAGACACACATGATTACTACATTGCCGTAGCGCACTATATGGTGATGTAGCACATCGCTATGTTGCCATAGGGCAATGTGGAGATGCGCCCCATTTATAATAACGCAGAATGACTCCTGAATCCTTGTTGTTGTCAGTCAGTTTTGAGGCCATTCTTATAATAGGTTTGGGGGAGCAGGGCAGCTTCTGTTACACCATACCTCAGGCTCTGTTGCATCCCGTAACTTCTATGCATTTCATAACTGCACGAAATTTCCTGCCCAAATTGTTTTCTGACTTTAACAACTTTCTACCCAGAGAGAGCTTTTTCCTTTCCTCCTCTTTCAGCTAGTTTAAAATGCTGCTTGCTGAGAATGTGGTCAGACTTGCATCTGGCTTGCTCTCTGTTCTCTAGAAGTGTTGCAGATAGGTCTCTAAACGTCAGTGTTACAAGGCTGACATACACTCTAATGGCCACTTTCACGGTTAACAATAACTTCTTCCCTTAATAACCTGAGAGGGCTTTGTTACCATTACAGATAGATTAGATGGCCTACAGGGCCATTTGTCTTTATAAGAAATTAGAAATGTCTAATGCCTGTATTTAATAGCTAAATAGAAACTCTCTTTTTCAGACTCAGCTGCAGTCTCAGAGGGTGCTGGTTCTCCAGGGGACAGATAGCCTGAACCGAGCCACTCAGAGCATTGAGCGTTCACACCAAATTTCTGCAGAGACTGATCAGATTGGTACCAATATAATCGAGGAACTTGGGGAGCAGCGAGAGCAGCTGGAACGCACCAGAGGCAGAGTGAGTATAGGACTTGTTAGCATTTTAACATAAAAGCTTGGCATGCACCTACTGGGAATGATCACACCAAATAACTCCTGTGGAGACCTGCCTAGAGTTTTCAGAATTATTCCCTGGGATGTTTGTGTAGATATCTGGGAGGAAGGAGTAGGCTGTAGACAGAAGAAAAGTGAAAATGCTCTCAATCATGTGTAGCCTGTAAAGTCTGCAAATACTCCACAATAGAGAGCCCTTTGTCACCAGGAGTAAACTGTGAAATAGCTTTTAAATTCATTATTATTTGGGTTTCAGAGGTCTGTGCAAGGTGATTGGTATTGATCAAAATTCAAAGCATTTCTTTTCTTCCCCACCTGGCAATGTAAACTAAATTGAAATGGTTAACTAGTTTTCACCCTATCTTTTATACTTGGACTAAATGACCCAATAAGTGTGAAGTTGCAGATGGACCATATTAAGAGCACTTAAAAGGCCAGTGTCTACACTATAAAGCTTTTTAACTCCTGCAAAGTGCCCTCTATCGCGATACCTAGCTCATATTAGGGTAATTTCAGTTTGTTTGGTGGAGCTAAAACGAACAATTTGGAGTCTTCCGCCATCTGAGGATGCACTGCTTTCATGTCCATCTCCACCCCTCTCTGCCCCCTCTGTACATACCTAGAGCTGGGATAGAGCCCAAGTGTCCTGGCTTCTAGGCATGCTCCTGCTTGTCAGCCTTCTGGCAAGTCAGAGCTGTGCAGGGAAGAATTGGTATTAACCCTTAACTTGCAACTTCTCACAGCATGTTTGGAATTTAACATCACTTAACATTTCACAGATTTAGTGTTGTCTAAGTGTAACATAGAACTTCACCTTAAGTCTCTTCTGTTCCCCTGAGGACACAGAGGAAATGACAAGACAGTTAATAGCTTAAATTACATACTTTTGTTTAAGTTAGAATTTAAATACTGAAGCATTTATTTTTGGTTTGAGTTACTGTCAAACGGTATCTGCTCACTTTCCAAGTAAATATATTTTTCTACTACAGCTCTGCTCACTTAAGCTTGATTATTTCAAAAGCACAATCAACAATAAAGGTTTAGTTGACTTTACCTTTGGCAAAATTTCTGCAACCCTTCTACCTACAATAGATTTGCATACTTTTAACTGAAACTTGGAAAGACATTCCATGGATGCAGAAGAAGGAACAGTTAAAGGGTTTTTTTGTTTTGTTTTGTTGTTTGGTTGGTTGATTGTTTTTAGTCCCATTGCTTGTGTTAGAAGGCTCTTCTAGAACTTGATTTGTTCAGTACCTCCTTCTAATTCCTTTTAGTGCCACAACATGACTCTACATATGCTGGGAGATGATCTTGAGTGACAGTGTCATGCTTATGTAGTTGTATGTAGTCTAAAGCACAGCTCCATTCTGCTCTAAGATGTCCAGAAAACTGCCAGTGTCCTAAGGGTTAATAGTACTCCTGATCAGGTTTTGAGGGTAGCTAGGAATTTTCTGTAGTGTATATCCCAGGCATAGATCCAGGAAATATCTTATCGCAGGGGATTGTAGGCTCTCTTTATTTTCTACAAGGAGGGTTAACTTTTTGCAGATGTAACTCCTAAAAATGTGTTACATTGCTGCCTTATGCTTGATGGAGGGGGAATAGTCTTTTGAATGTACCATCTCAGTAACATTTTGTTTATAGATTTGCACTTTTGGGCCTTTTACATAGTCTTTCCACTGTTGAAATCATAATAAATATACAGAACCTAATTTATTTTTGTATGTGCTCCTGTATTTTGCTAATCTGTGATGAGACATCAGAGTGCGTTACCTTTGTAGTAAGGTAACACAACAGTTGTTAGTATTGGACTGTACACAAACTGACTCCAGCTTGTTACATTTCCTTTTCAGTTTACGCTGTGAATGAATTGGGTGAAATGGGTTTGCTTTATTGAAAGTATGGGAGTAAGTAGCTTCATTAACTTACCAAGATTGCTGGTGAATGGAAATAGATAACAAGTGAAGAGCCATTTTAAAATGTGCACCAAGTTGGACTGCCAGGATAGATTACCTGATTTCCCTTCCTTTTAACTTCTGGAGTAGACTTGTTCAGACTCTGGAAAATGTAATCACAACATGGCATAGAAATGAAGGATTAAGCTGATTTGCGTGTCATGTGGCAAACTTTAGAGCTGTATAACCTGCATTTAATTCCTTGCTTCTTAAGAAGCAGTTTCTAAATTGTTTATGGACGGAGTTAATTTCTGAGGAGTAAACATCTGGATTGGCTTAGTTATTAACAATCTAGAGTTGAAAATTCTTGGGCCAATGCATGACAGTTCTCTCTTGGTTATTTGTAAGTGTTCGTTAGGGAGTTAAATGTCCTTGGGAATATGCTGTAGATTAATATCAGAAATATTCTTCCTGATCTTCATAAACTTCACCCTGTTACTCTTGTTCAACTTAAAGGAGTTAATTCCTCTCCTTCAGCCTTTTTAACTTTCTAGTACTTGCAGGCTAAAATTACTTTCTGTCCTTTTTGTTGCTCAATCAAATTTCCGATCTTTCTCTCCCAGCCCTGTTAACTCTTATATTTATCCTGATTGTGGTTCTGATAATGAAGTGCCCTGAACTGACTATAGTGTTCCAGTTGCTGTTATCCTACCCATGTAGAAAGGACTGTTGTATCACAGGAGATGAAGGTAACATTAAGACAGGGAGTTAAAGGTGTGCGAAGCTTCAGTCACCAATTCAATTCGAAGAAGTTTCGGCCTGATTCGGAGGCCGAATCACCAAATCCGAATTGAATTGGGAGGAAAAAAACAAACCTCTGAATAAATTTGGAAAAGATTTGGAGATTTGGAAAGCAGTCTTTCAGGGGAACAGAAACTGATAAGAGGAAGGGGGAGCAGGGGGGAGAGACTGACAGCTGTAGCTGGCCAGTGACTGTGATCTTTCCCTGAGTCCCTTTCCAATCACACTGCTGTGGGGCAGAGATGTAGAAACAGCATCTAACCATCTGTCTGCTGCCTTTCTGTCCCTCTTGTGAGCTGTTTCTGCCTGAGCAACAGTGTCTGAAAGGTACTGGACTGGCTTGGCTTTCTAGTGTTCAGTCTCCTGCTAGTTTCTGTTCTTGAAAAAGATTGGATACAGCTTACTGACTAGAATCCCTCTACTTTATCCCTGTCCAATCCATTTCTTTCAACTTATTCTTCCCCCAAAAACCTTTTGTTTGTTCTTGTTTCCCCCTGCCCCCCCACCCCAACTCTTTATACACACACATACACACACACACACACAAGATATTAATATTATGAATTACACACACGTACAGTAAGCACAACACAGAAGTCAGACAGTTATACATCAGAGAAGAAGAAGAGATATTATTAATTAGTTATGCACATAGACACATTTTCCAGCACAGGAAAGATTAATATGAAGTGTGCTGGAAAGGCAGGTGCCAGGTCTTCTGGCAGGGGAGGGAGAGGGACTAGAAGGGGTAGGGGGAGAACTTAGAGCTGTAGATGCATCCTTTTTCCTGGCAGCTATGAGTCTTCTGCTGCCAGTGGGAACAAGGAGGTGGGAGCAGTACCTGTCCCTGCACCTGCACCACCTCCCCTAACATCAGAAATAGCCACCAGCAGTAGAATGACAGTCTCTTCCACCCCAGCTTCATCTGCCAGCATGAGCTTTTCAGTGCCAGAGGAGGAGCTGGATCTGGAACCAGGGGACCTGAGCAGCCTAGCAAAAGAAATTCTGGGGACTGAGGGGGAATCTGAGTTGGTGCTCCACACCCATCAAAGTTCCCCTAGAGTCAGGTCTCCTCCAGAAAGTACCTCAGAGGAGGTTGAGATTGTGGAGACAAATGGCTTAGCTGAGTCGGCTCCTCCTGTTGTTGTGCCTCAGCCTGCTGAGGAGGGGGATAAGTCAGGATCCCCACCCTCAACCCAGAAGCAGGGTGGGTAGTGTAGTGTGGGATCATTTTGAGGTGGCAGATGACCCCAAGTAAGCTATCTGCCAGCACTGCTGAAGGCAGATCAGCTGGGGCAAGGAGGTGAAACACTTTACCACCATGGCGATGCTGATGCATCTCAGGAGGCAGCACCCCCTTGCCCTTGTTCCTTCTCAGCCTGGCACCAGTAGGAGTGTGCCCAAAGGGAATTCCCCCACTTGCTCCAAAGCCCTCTGTTTCCATGAAGCAGAGGCAGGCCACCCTGGAGCAGTGGGAGAAAGCCGCAGACAAAGAGGGGTGCGTTGCAAGGGTGAGTGAGGTCACCCAGAGCATTGGGGAGATGCTTGCTCTGGATGGCCAGCCCTTCTCTTTAGTTGAGTGGCCAGGGTTCAGGCAGCTCATGGTGCTCGTGACCCCATCCTACAAAGTTCCTGCACGTACCACCTTCAGCAGG